TTTACCTTAATTCTCGACATTGCTTGCCATGCACTTTTTTCTTCATTTACTCATTTCTTTTTCCCCGAGCTTTATTAACACCCCGGAGCAATATCCCAACGGCAATTGCTTTATAATACTGTGCGGCTGGAGTCTGTTAAAACGTGGTTGAATTATCCTCGCTTTTCTTTGTCGTTTTCACCTTTTCCAGATGAAGAGGATAAAGGAAAAACAGAATTGGTCGACTCATGTAATCCTGGATTTATTGGGACTGTTAATTTTATACCGATGTTAATTGATTTCCAAATTCTGTCGATAAAACTCGAAGGAAAAAATTGGGGAAATCTGGCAGAGATGTATTCCCCTATTTATTCCCCTAGATTATGATAATAATATTCAGCTTTTCACATTTATTTTTATTTATATTCTAATATATTATATTCATTTATATATTACTATATATAAATGGATAGAATGAATAGTTCATTTTCAAAAATTCATTGCATAGTAATTATTGTATAATGAAGTTAAGTAGGAATAGTTTTCATTTTTTTTTTCATTTTATTTTCATTTTTCTGTCCACTCAAGACCGGGGAGTATTTTTGGAGTCGTCGAAAAGTATTTTACCAACCGTCCACTATCATATTCTTCATTCATTTGTAAAACAATTCACAAAAGACCCTCTGCATTTGCCCCCACGGAATCTGCCGACTTCCAACAGTTATTGTCACCATCGAGTGTCACATAAATCACCCGGTGAAATCGGAATCGATCGGAGAAAAGCCACCGCATGCATTTAATCCCACCGCTCACCATTTTTCCCCTCAGCTCTCGGGTTTTTCATTAATTTTTATCCATCACTTTCGAATAGCCCCCAGATTTTCAACAACCGAGGCAAATCGACGACTAATTATTCCCAGGAATTCACTGATCCGCTACATTGATACCTGGATTCCTTATTTCCAGGGAATTGAATGTATCGAGAGGCATTTCAGTATGCATGAGTGGAATTTTCTATATGGAAATACCGAAGTTGTCGATGCCAATGCACTTTCACGACGATCTGAGAAGAAACGAGGAAGAGACAACATATGGGGAATGTAAGGGAGATCCTAGAGGTAAAAATTCCAATTGGCTCGTTGCGAAAGTGGTTGAATAAAAAAAACATTTTTTTTGGAACAATAAATTTTTGATTTCTTTTAAACAACTTGAAACTTGTCGTCCTGACCCCCAGGAATAAGGGCACTCTTGTACGAGTCACTTCTGATCAAGTAATCGACGACTTTAACGTGATTTTGATAGACAATCGGATTTTTTACGATCTTCAAGCACTTGACGTTGTTATCCCGACGAGTACTAGCGAACGTCTGGATGTCACTGGTTGAACCTAGTATATCATCGATTTTTATGACACTCACGTCACTGCGGATGATTTCATTCCACCTTGAATCCCACTCACGTGTGCAGGTGTCATGATTCTTGTCATGCAACTGGAGAATCTCCTCGATGTAATACTCGGTTGGATGATAGTCGGATGGGGCTGAGACGATACGGCTGTCTCGAAATTCCTGCACCTGGAGGGATGACACTATCCGGGACAGACATTTCATCACGGTTTCCACCACATGCTCCTCGTTTGCGTCCCTTCGAACTCGAACTTGAAGGGTTCCTGCCTGTTACAGCCAATATTTCCTGTGATTATTGCTGTGGAAAGTACTTGTTTATTAATCCACTTACGAGCTTTCCAAACGATTTTATCCAAAAACACTCATTCCTGAACTCCAGAACCCCATCAATATCAAGTGCCTCACGAAGGCACTCACACAGCTGCTCGGTCATGTGATGCGGTACTTTCTAAAAAAGGAAGACCATAAAATGAAATGAAAATCCAGAATCATTTGCCGTAAAATTGGGATTATAAAGGCCGGAGGGTCAACGCTGCAGAATCCCTTCATTGTAAAAATTCAAAGTCAGTTTTTTTGGGTTCTGCACGGAAAAGAAATTTGCTTTTCATCAAATTCAGATTTTTCTTTTCTAGATTCTGGAGTAATACAGAAAAATACAAACAATATTAATCGAGAAATTACAAAATGAAAAAGAAAATCCGAGATTATAAAAATTGGAGACAATTTTCAGAATTGTTTTTTTCTCAATAATTAGATATGATTCAATTGATTATTCTTACGGAAAAAGTCATGAATTGATGGATCTCAGAATTTTTTATTCCGGGTTCACTGATACACGTCACCTCCATACATTTACGCAACGATAAATTACCTGGAGTATTACACACAACGTGTAAAAGGCAAGTGGTAGCATCGCCGTTGTGGTCAGACCAATCACCACGAAAGCAGCTGCTGTGTCAACGACGTACATTTCCCTTCATTAAGTCGAACCAAAAAAATACAATCTTGCTTAATATATTCCCAACATCCCGCAACACTCAATTTTTATCTCACAACATAATAATATCGCTGTAATTTCAAAGAACAATAAATCCGCACAAAATAGAGAGTTCTATTCCCTCCTTAACAAAATCCGTTCTCAACGATTAATACAAATAAAAAATCCCCGAGACTATTAATACTATTAATCTTATCGATAGAAATTTTTTACTTCAATTTAGTTAATTAAAAAATATTTTTGATTGTTTTAAGTGTAATTCTATAAAAAAATTTCTGTGGGAAACAACCGGGTATCAGTGTACAATAGTTAAGTAATGAAATAATTAATTATTTCATTAAATAATTAATAATATTGCTATAGTATTGATGAAACAACGAATGGGCAACAGAATGAGCAAAAAATAAATTACCAAACGTGAATGACAGAGTGGACAACACAGAGGACGATAGCACTGGAGATATTGGCAACCAGAATTGGATTGGATCCCCTGAAGGGTGCACATGGCAGTGTCATGCAGACCACGTGATTCAATCCAGCATCAGGATAAACGAAAATCGTTCCCAAGTGTGCGGCCAGACCGAGAAGAGCCCCCAGTCCCAATCTGCCACTGACAAATTCAAACTTTTGTTAAATTCAATCTATTTCTTCGCGGTTTGTTTTCGAGGAAAGGGAAATGGCTAAACTCGATGTGCAGAGTCAAATCTTTGAGAGATCTCTATTGAAGATTGGAAAATTCAATGTAATGGTATGTAATTCAAGGCAAATCATCAGTGCAATTGTTCTGGATTGATAAGGCCCTCGAGATTGTTCGGGGTGACCTAGAGACCCGTCGTAAACCCGTTATCAAGACTTTATTATTAATTATTGGGAATAGAAATACTGATAGTGTTATTTTCGAGCGTAGAAATAGTTCATCTCTCTGGAAAAAAATTAGTTGTAGTTTTTGTGAGGTGATGATTATTTTCTTTTTCAATGGGAAAATCAGATTTACTTGGAGGGATTGAGGGACGTAATCTGTGGAACTCACGTGTGTACAGTTGGCTGATCTCCGATTCTCAGGATGATCTCCATGGACATGAGGGATCCTCCGAAGAGGACCAGGGATGAGGACACCAGGAGGGCTAGAACCTCGTACTTTTCCGGTCCCAAACACGACATTGTCTGATCGACAACTACATGACTCGATCTATCTGGAAATCCTAAAGATCCTGGAGATTTAGCACGGATTCTCCCGGATTTTTTCAGGGCTGGAGACTTCCTGGACACCCACACAGATATCAGGCACACCAGCAGGGAAAATACGTTGAAAAATACTGCGTTTACGTACGCGCTCAATGCTGTATAAAAATCAATCGCAACTTTGTTTAATTATTGATAGTAGGATTTTGTAAAATAGTGTTTTACGTTCGCCCGCAAATAGTCGAAGGAATTCGCAGAGAGAAATTGTTTTACACTCCTGATAAGCCCCGGCCCGATAAACCCGTGTCCCTGAACATAAAAAAGTAAATGAGAATGAATAATTGGTAAACTACAATTTAACGAGTCGCCGAGTTGTCACAGGGATTTTCGAGATTAAAATGAAAATGAAATTTTCCAGATAATTAGAGACCACTGGAGTTGACAAATTATCAATATTTGTGGAGTGCGAAAGTGGCAGACGTGGAGTGGCGGGTCTCGTTAGAGGGCTGGCAAAACTTTTTGGCACCACCAGCTTCTTGGGCACAACTTCCCCGTGAACTGCATAAAGTTCAGACGTTTTTATTGGAAAATCTCAAGACTCCAACGGATTCATAATTTCTCTGTTCAAATTCCTCCAGAAAAAAAGTGAAATTTCATGAGAAGCCGAGGGAATTACGGTCATTTAAAATTCAATACTAAATATAAAATGGAGGCTCATCATATAGTTCCTGAGGATCATACTCTCGACTAGTTCCTGGAGTCTTCATGAATCCTCGATAATTCATCAAGCCCTTGAGAAAGAAAAAATCTAGGAATTCTACTTTACTCGACTTTGACTTAAACTCCACTACCAAAGTTAATTAGGGACGAGTCGATTAGAGGGATTAGGTGGATACCCCCTGAGGATTATCCCCCGGCAAAGTTTCTGGAGTAAGGAAATGGAAACTGACCTATACTGTTGGTCGAAGTTACCCAGCCACAGAGGTAGTAGATAATCACAGTGTTGTACGTGATCAGACAGAGGATCCATTTGCTCTCGGTCTCTGCCAGTACACGAAGGACCTCACTCCCACAGGGATCGCTCTCTCCACCTATCACAACGTTACAATCACTCTTACAATTACCATCTGCACTTCAATTACTATTTTAATCAACTCCACCATCAACGTCCCACTTAATACTGTCCCCATTTCACTTCCCCATAATTTTCTAATAAATAAACACAACATTCAAAACAACTAATTCCCTCACATTTTTTCATGATTTTTTAATATTTTTTATTATCCTATTTCTTCAATTATACGTTATTATAATTGCATCTCATTATTTTAATGTTGATTTCAATTCAATTCAATCAATATATTAATAAATAATGAGTAAATTAGTGAATTAAGAAATAAACGCCGTTTATTAATGAACGAGAGTGGAGGCTTTATGTTTTGAAAAATGAAATAACGTTTTAGAAGTCATGAAATGAAGAAGTCGTTGATGAAAAGAAATTATTTCTGTTCCAGTTATTCGGTTACACTTCGCCACTAGATCAATTAGCATTAACTCACTATCATCAACATCCAGGGGCACTGTATCCTTATCTGTCGACATAAACATCATTGATTTGTCCAGAGCATGCTGCAAACTCCATTAACAATGCCATGTCAATTGAAACTCCATTATACCCGGTGTACCCTAGCCTGTTCTTAACTACTGTAGCAATTACAATTCCACTGGGCTAGTCTGACGAGCACAAGTCAACTGATATCCGCCTCGGTAAATAGGGGGAACACTTAGGGGACTTATTATTAACTTCACTGATAAAAATCATCGGAAAATTGTGAATATCATTTCCCCGGCACTTGAAAACTATAAAATAATTGCCAAATTACTGTATGGAATAATTTACCAATAATTCAAACTTTTCCAATACTAATATTGCAACTATTCATAACAGAAATTGAACTTCGATTGTTCACTCTCCTCTCGCTTCTCTCAATTTATGAAATCAATTAATCCGTTAAATCTTGGATATTTATTTATTTATACTAAATAATATTCATTTTGTATAAATTATCCAGGAAATTGGAGTTATTCCGTTTTCATATTGTGAATTATTGAATTGGTACTCGATAATTCAAATTTCCTGAATCTATGTGCGTGTTCCGCCATCTTGAATTGGCGCGGTGAACTAGTTTGAATTGAAAAGGCTTATCGGTGAGGATTGGATTAATCAGCTGCAGATAATAATTCCAGTTCTCGCAGCTCTCGTGATGTATCATTTTTATTAATTATTCCAGTCGGCCATACCCAGCAATCGTGTAACGTTGACTTGACGAGACATATTTCTTTCAGCAAGTACATCGTCACTTCTGGTAGTCTGAATTTAAGATTATAAGTCTCTAACTGCAGTTTCCAAAATGGTAAGTTATTCAATCGTTCATCCACTTTTCCTTCACCCTTCAATCACGTGTTTCAAGAATTTATATCGGAGTGGAAAAACCTTGGTATCAGCCCATCTTCTCCGTTATCAATTTAACCTCCGCCTGACCTTGAGATCAAATTTTTAAAAATAGTTAATTCTACATGTCCATAACAAGATCTCAATTAAATAATTATATTTATTCTCTCCTGAATTATTATTGATTATCGCTAATCAATACATATGATTTCCCAGGAATTATAGATAATTCAACGGAATAAGTTTTGTAGTTGAAAATAGAAAGTTGCAAAAAATCTTAGATTACATTTTAGAATTGACAAGGTGAACGCGAATGGATTTTGTCAAATGGCCAATATTTTCTGGTAAAAATAATAATACTGACAAAATCGAGCTGAAGGATGTCTGAGTAAAAAGAGGCATCGATCAACGTAATAATGCAAACGATGGGAATCAATTTTGTTATTAATTAATTAGGCGGAGCCAATCAATGTAGTGGTGACCGGTGCAGCAGGTCAGATTGCCTATTCCTTACTGTATCAATTGGCAGCTGGATCTGTCTTCGGACCTGATCAACCCATCAATCTTCGACTTCTCGACATTCCAGTGATGATGGAGGTGCTCCAGGGTGTTGTCATGGAGCTAGAGGACCTAGCCCTTCCCCTCTTGAAAGGTACAAATCCCTGGAGTTTTCACATGCGTTCAATTTGTGAAATCGTATTCTGTAACAAAAATTTCAGAGGTTCTCCCGACTGCTGACCCTGCAGCAGCCTTCAAGGATGCAGCAGCTGCATTTTTGGTGGGTGCAATGCCCAGGAAACAGGGGATGGAGCGCAAGGATCTTCTGTCGGCTAACGTGAAGATCTTCAAGGTCCAGGGAGAAGCCCTTGACAAATATGCTCGCAAGGACGTGAAAGTCCTCGTCGTTGGCAATCCAGCAAACACCAATGCCCTCATCTGCTCGCACTACGCTCCATCCATCCCCAAGGAGAACTTCACTGCTATGACGAGACTCGATCAGAATCGAGCGCAAGCTGCGCTTGCTGCTCGACTTGGTGTTCAGGTTCATTAAGAATTTTTATCTGAACTTTCCACCTCGTCTCGTTTAATTTGAAGTACCGACCTAAATTTTTTTACAATCATCTCAGGTTGATAAAATTCTGAACGTCATCATCTGGGGCAACCACAGCTCCACGCAGTTTCCGGATGCCTCACATGCAACTGTGAATGGGAAACCTGTGCCAGCAGCTGTCAATGATGACACCTGGCTCAATGAAGTCTTCTTGGAGACGATCCAGAAGAGGGGGGCTGCTGTCATAGCAGCCAGGAAAATGTCATCAGCTATGTCAGCTGCCAAAGCAGCTGGTGATCACATGAGGGACTGGTGGATGGGAACCAAGCCTGGACACTGGGTCTCCATGGGAGTTCTCTCTGATGGCAGCTATGGAGTACCCAAGGACATTGTCTTCTCCTTCCCCGTTACCATAAAGGATGGAAAATTTAATATTGTTCAGGTAATTATTGATCATAATTATATAACTACATAAAATATTACACATATTTTACAGAAATAATTATACTATATTAAATTGATTACAGAATCTCCCCGTCAGCGACTTTGCAAGAAGCAAATTGAATGCAACAGCAAAAGAACTTGAGGAAGAGCGCACTGAAGCCCATTCAGTCCTCATGCCATGACTAACTGGCCCCCAGTCCTCCGCCCTGACACGACCAGACACTAAATGCAGACTCTAGGTTTTAATGGAACAATATGCACCTGTTAACATCATCAACCCCAATGTTTAGCTGATATATGTGTATAGATGACGTCTGCCCCAAACTCTGCACTCGTCGAGTTGTTATCCTAATATTACAGAGAATATATCTACCAATACATTATAAAATTACAATAAATATAGGAGGATGGAACAAGGTATCACCACTCGAGACAATATTTTTTTTTAATTCATTGAAAAAAATCCAGTCCTCAAAAACTTCCAAAATGAATGAAGAAACACTTCAATCCTTCGAAATAATTTTTTTCATCATTTTTATTTCATCTCCCCCAAGAATCAATAATAATTTATAATACAGTAATTAATATTAACTAATTATTTATCCTCATTACATGAGTGTTGTTTTTTTTCGTCTTCGATATCGTTAGTAATCATCTCTCACATTTATATTATATATCATTTATATTCACTTCCTCTAAACACTAGTACAGGTATACTGAATTGTTTTTTTTATTCATCTGTTATTAATAATCGCCCCTCTCACCCCATCTATTCATTATTTAAATTCATTTATAATCATTCTTGTGAGCATTAAGTAGCGTATCGTACAAATATGCATAGTGCCCGTGGACTTTACGAGTCTCATTGATTTATTTATTCTTTTATCGAGAACAAAAAATATTTATTTCTCATATATATATCTTTATAATTATTCTCCCCCTGTTTTGGTTCAATTTTTTTTTTCATTTTTTTATTCTCCATATCCAATCAATAAATTAGCTAAATTGATGAATTGAGTTCAAGCGATTGATTTTTTTTTCCTTCAGATGACAAAAAAAAAATTCCCAGTGACTTTTAATTTCATTCATTTATCTTTATGGTCTCTGTGGTTCATTCATCAGTTGGAGGCACTCGCCTATTCAAATAAGAGTTTTGTTTTTTTATGGAAATTCATCTCCAAATTATCTTAAATACATATTTACGTAGCAGAGCGATAAAGATATATGATTCAAACGTTTTCATCGAGATTATTCTGCAATTTTTTTAGCCAAATAGTCTCTAAATTTCGTGTGATTCATTCATTTTCATCAATTTATTTTTGATAATTATCAAGGAACAAATTGAAAATCCTTATTAGTAGCATTAGTGGCATGTGCTACCATTATCCCTCCACTAATCTAGAAAAACCATAATAGCCACATTTATTCCTCTCACATGCTTAGGCAGAGCGAATTATTATCGATAATTAATAGTAATAAACAAATCAAACAATTACGTCCGAAGACAACAAATTTCCCGTTGAATGTTCCAGAATTATGTTTACCTAACGAAACATGAATGAATGAAAAATCCGTGCGTTATCTCAAACCGAGGAAACATCACATTTTTGACAAAACAATCGTTTTTCTTATTTTTGAAAGCAGTGAATTTCTCTATAATTATGGATTTATCTCTCACAAAATTGTCTCATAAGCCCCTTAACCAGATAATCTCACCACATGCTCCACTCTCCACCGAATGCAACAGAACAGAAAATTCACCTACAAAAAAAATTCACGAGGCAATACACACACAGACAAATGCTCTCGCCATTTAGCCCTCGAGCTTCATTCCAATGAAAAAAATATGAGAGAGCCGCAATGGTATTCGACAAGCATCTACTAAAATTCATAAATTCCCTGGAAAATTTCCAAAACGCAATGAAACTACAAGTTTGAAAAATGGTTTTTGAAGATTTCACATCTAGATGTGCCATATTATCCACTAGCCATTGTCCAGTGTCTGTATTACTGAGTCACGTTGAAATAGTTCTCGATAACTTCAATATTACAATCATTAAATTCTCATGATCATTCTGATAATTTGAACATCGAAGGCCGTAACAATTACGTCGCACATTGATTTGAATGCATCATGTTCCTGACACATTTATCCCCTCAGAATAAATGAAATTAAATTTTCATATTTACTACAATAATTGCCATTTAATTCAGGTGAAAACCTCTCTCTCGTGTTGCAGCCAGTAGTCTTTCCTTAAGGATATCCTCGGTGGGGTATTCTGGTAATTTGAGGTAATGCACACAGGTGTTGACGGATGGATAACCGCCAGAGCCAGCATCGACTTTTCGCACAACAGTCAGTCTTGGGTGGAGGTTGCAGAGGCCACCTGGAGGGAGGGCTGAACAGCCTGTTGCAAACTGGAGGAAGGCTTTCCTTTCGGCTCCAGTGAGGGATAGGAGAACGTTGACAAAACGCTGGAAGCCAGGACTAAAAGAGAAAAAAAATAACGTGCAGTAACTTCCCGTCAATTTTTTCCCATTCGTATTTTTTATTTCATTCGAGACAACTCACCTTTCCCTGGTATACCCCAGCTTAGGTTCGGTGTAATTCAGCAAATCCTCCCTACTCCACTCTGGATTCTGCTCCCCACAGAGCATCGCCCTGATCTCCTCCGGACTGAAAGCATGAAGTTTCTCCATGGGAAAGACCTTTGAAAATCCACTTCTGAAGGCTTCTAGTTGTCTAGCAATTCCACCATCCAAGCAGTACTTGACGGTCATCTCTGCATACTCCCTTGCGTTTTCCATGGTAACTCCAACTTCACCTCCATCCTCGATAAGCTCCACAACCTCATGTCCAAAGACTCTCGATCCCGGTGAATACGTCATGGTCAAACCGAGCTCCTCAATGGGCACCGAAGTACCGGACGGATGCTGGATCCTCATGGGATCCTCCTCCCCACCCCCCTCACTCATTGTCCTCTCCCTCTTGACACTCAACATGTGCACCTGCTTAATAAATTCACCCCTAACAGGATCAACCATCACTAGATCCTCAACATCGAGAATACCATCCCACCAGGGACTAGGCTCCAATAGGCTGCAGCCCTCCTCCCCCTCTTCAGAGATAAAACTACTTGCCATACTGCTTGACATACTCTCCTGTGTCACTCCAGTGAGTCCAATTCTCTCATTAACATTATTCGTAATATCTCCCCGACACATGAGCTTCAAAAAGCTCCTCGAGAGAGGTAAATCAACGAGTCTATTGTCCTGGAGGACTTTGGCGAGAAAAACACCGAGGAACCAGAAGTATTTAACAGCTTTGTTGCAATCCTCCGAGTCCTGGGGCAGGGGAGCTGGAAAGAGTCCACTAGGACGTGTTACGTAGTAGCCAGGGGGTCTGACGTGTTCGTCAGAGGGACAGGACATTGTTTGATGAGGATCCTCATCGTCGCACAGCCACAAGCCTAAATCCTTTCTCTGCAATTCAGCTGCCACCAGGGCAAAGAACTCGAGGGTGGGACCGAGACCAGTGCCTTCTTCTCCAACGAACTCCACCTCCAGGATGCTCTTCCGGCTGGAGTGAACTTTGAGGACCTGCTCAGCCCAATCCAGGAGTTTATCACCTCTTGGAACTGACACACGTTCGTGCTTAAGACGACCGACACGAAATTCATGGCTATCGTCACGTCGTGGTGAAAGTCCTGGTGCACGTTGACGCTCCAGAACAGCGTCACGCTGGGTTTGCAGCCAAACAATTGATCTGGATGCACCGAAGGCAGTGCAGGAGAAGTAGAGACGACGTGTCTCGAAGGGGAGTAAGAATGGACAACTTCTGGCTAATTCCTCGCACCAGGTGGGAAGGGCTCCAGCAGCCAGAGCCAAGGGATCCTGAATCTGCTGGACTATTTTGTTGGTGATCTTCTTGGAGGTGAAGTCGTCCGGGTGCACCCAGCAGGATTCCAGATCCTCGTTTAGGCTCTCGTATTTCTTCTCGTCTCGGGACGTTGAGATCACGTACACGTGGCGCAATAGCTGCAGGACATCTTCCACAGTGCAGGCATTGGTGTTCTGAGTGGGTTTACCTGAGTAGAGGGTAACGATGGGGGTCGCACGACCCGATGACTCCTCGTCCTTGGATTCTTTATAAATTATCGTGTACGTTGGCTCCCAGATTCTACGGAGTTTTTCCTGGCGTGTGCCCAACTCTGTTAGCTGCATCAGCTCCTGGACTGCTTGGAATATACTCGAGTGGGGATCAGAGAGGGACAACTCTACATCTGGAATTTCAGGGAGTCCCGGACCCTTCAGGGACAACGATAAACGTGGCATTGTTGGGGCACCTACTCGTGTGCTCGATTGAGGATCGCTTCCTGGTGGTGGCACTTCGAGGTCTGTCGTTTGGTTGATGTTTGTTCGACCTGAGAAGAAATGTTTGTTCATGAGAATGGAAATGGAAATTGAAACTGCAACCTAGAAATTATAGATAAAAATTACCTGGACGCGGATCGAAGGCTGGAATGAGGGCAGAGAACTGTCGTTTGAGAACGAATTCATCGTCCCAGGCTCGTCTCTTAGACGTCTGTGGAGTTTCCTCCTCCATAAAGGCAGCCAGGAGATTCCTGGAGACCATTACTTCCTCGTAATCACCCTCACCACCCTCTCCCTCCTCCTCGTTCTCCTCGTCGTCCTCTTCGTGATCGTTCTCTTCGTTGTCGTCCTCCTCCTCAGCCAGCACCCCATCCTCATCATCCTCCAGCTCCCCGAGAAGTGTAGGAACACCTCCTGCTGTTCGAACACCAGAGACACTCGAGCCTGCCACTCCTCCGCAGGATTCCAAAAAGTCCTCTAGACTCACCTGGAGCCACAACTTCTCATTACATTAAAAAATTTCGTTTCGAAGGCCAAATTTAGTCACATCCTCTGGATTTTTTAATTTTCACACAAATACTTAAATTTAAATTAGCCCCTCAAAACCACAAAAAAAAAACAATAAAAATAATCCTCACCTGTTCACTATCACTGCTGGTACTTGTGAGGGACATTGTCAGTGCCTGTCCAAGACCAGCACCAGTGGTTGTAGTGACACCACTGCCAGCCACCTGTCCACTGCTCGTTAAACTTGGATAACTCTGTGCAGTGCTCAGCAAACCACCAGGAAAATTTGAACTAAGAGCTAACCTGACGAGACTCGACACCGAGTTTGGTCCACGTGGATTTGATCCTGTATTTGAATTTGGCGCAATGTGCTGACCACCAGCAGGTCCTAGAATTATTATTCATGTCGATGGGTTATTTATGAACGATTAACGAAGCAATATAATTTGATTGTTCTTATTTTGGTCTAGGATTGAGGGAAAATTGGGGAAATGGACTAAGAACAAACCTAGAGTTCGTCTTCGGGCCATAGCAGCAAAAGTCTCTAGTAAACCGGTGGCAGCTGCTGGCTCCAGTGTGTTATTAGCATCGGAACACGCAAGATTGGGCACTGAGACGGACATGGGATTGGTTACCACAACTGGACATCCTCCAGCTGGATTCTGAGAGGATGAACTAGCCTCCTTGTCTCGACTGCACTCCTTAGTGGCTAGTTTCGATATTAATCAATTTGAAGTAGTTAAAAATGATAGGATAATAGTCTCGGAACAATTACTCCAGGAAATGAAAGGTTAATAAATCAATATAAATTAAAATACGTACCATCTTGAGCTGTCGGATTGTGCTTTGGCACTGGGCGGATTCTGAGTGAATTATCCTCACTCTCACCAGACACTGAGATCCTAACAGGCACTAAACCGAGCAACTCTCCACTCAAGAAACTGTTAGTGTTGTTACGGAGTCTGTCAGCACCTTCGCGAAGACGATCAAGCACCTCGACTGCCTCCAAACTCAACAAACCGCTAGCCGGCTAGAAGTTACACCAGTTACATCATATTAATTCACACATGAATATTAGCAACAGTTGAAAACTTTTAAACCCAAAAAAAAAAACATTACCTTATTTCCTCGAACAGTAGTATACAGTGGCTTGGAGCTGCTGGATGCCCTATTACTATTACTATTTCCAGAGCAGTCAGTGTTCAAAGCTAAACTCTCAACAATAGTAGCCAAATCACTACTGACAGTGGTCTCAGGTCTAGGATGAAGTACAACACTGAGTTCCCCGGTTGTATTACTCGATCCCCCTTCCCCAGTGACAGCGACAACAGCCTCAGCCCTCGCCACAGACAATACACTCTCAGCAATGGACTCAGCGGCCTGCTTAGCAGCCAGATTATCAGCACTGGCAGCCTGATCAGTCGATGCCACTGATCCCCTCATACTGACATCAGTGCAATCAGGTAGACTAGGCGTAGAGCTCGATTTTCTCCCAGTCAATATACCAGATCCATTCTTACTTTTACCAGGTTCAGCATCGAAACTCGTTCCCACTAATCTCAGATCAAATTTCCCCTCAGCTCCCATTCTATATGAATTCGATCCACCGTGATCCCAGGTAACGTCAATCCATCCATTGTGCAAATCCCCAGTGATAGATCCCTCCCCCGGTGGATTACCATCCTGATCCTTCCACTTCCAATCAAGACCCCTGGCCACCCTAGCACCAGCAACTAAATGTCGAAGCACCTGAGTTCTAATCAATCTCCTCTGTTTTCTAACCCCAGCTTCAGCTTCACGAGCTGCTCTACCCAAATCCTCACAAACACCAGTGACTTCTCCATACACCTCCAGCCCAGAAACCGACAGATAATGCGTCTGGCCAGACGCATTTTTTCCCGTCTGCTGGAGCCTGAGATGCCTCCAGCCCTGAGTCTCCTCAGCAGGGGCCTCAAGTGTCCACGTTGCAGTGCTTCCAGGCTCATTCAAACTACAATCATCCACGTGTGTATACAAAGTCGTCCAATTTATTCCATCCTTCGACACCTGGAACATCCAATTTCTCAGGGCACTTCTGCCATAACCTCTGGCATGCCTAAGAGTGTAGGCACTGGGTATCAGCCACACCCCAAGATCAATGGAGAACCAAGCCCTCTTATCGTCATTGGTATGACAATTCAGGGCATTTTGATCCCTGCTGAGAATATCTTCGAGGTGTCCATAAGGCAGACTCCTCCCATCACTCGATGTCACTACCACTAGCCCATACTGCCCCGGATTTACCCACTCAGGTGCTGACTTTGCGTTTGTACCAATCCAGTAGAGTACCCCATTCTCATCGAAATCATTTTGATACTGAAAATTCATTCTGTTTCCTTCCTTCAACTTCTTCACGAATGTAAATGTCGATCTGTCATGATCGTGCCACTGCTTAGCAATCATCTTCAGCAGATGATTCTCGAGCTGTTGAATCGTACTAAGTGGTTCCATTTTCAAACTCCTACCAGATCTGTCAATGAGTGCACTTTCACCAGGTGCCTTTTCCAGACGAAACCTCAGCCTCCTGGTGAGAATCTGCAGCCCATAGCCAGATCCAGGTGTGTCATAAAGATAAACTGGAAGTTTTTCGATGGATTCGAGAACCGAGACGAGCTTTTGGACGAGAATTTTTGCTGAATTACCATCGTTCGTGTCCTTAGATCTGAAGCATGTCTTGAAGACAGCGATTCTCTGGAGTCTGAGTTTTGTCGCACGGACTGATGGGGTCTGAGGGGCAGATGGACCTGCCAGGAGGGCGAGAAGGGCCTGAATCAGGCCACTGGAATGCAATTCATAAGCTGAGACTCGCCCTTCTTCATTGAGGAGAGCTTTCAACTCCTCCAGAGCTGTCTGCAGGACTGAGCGCCACTCACGGTTCCCTGAAAGTTGTTTCTGACAGGCTTTGTCCACTTGGGAGACAATCGCTGCCAATTTGGCGACAACACCGCGTGGTTGGGCCTGAGCTGCCTTGAAGTAATTCTCGTATATCTCTTGAGCTTGGGTTTTTACTTTTTGCTTTATCGCTTCAATCTTTGAACGGAGGCGTTTTCCTCGTTTACCTGCCCATCCTGCTGCAAAGTCTGGACCTGAATTTTTGATTAAAGAAAAAATGTTATCGACTTCCCTTAAAGGACTTGAAATTAATTATTAAACGTAAATCATTACCTAAACTAGTTTCAGCGGTGAATGAATGTTTAGTTCCTCTATTGGACTCGAAAATAAATCCTGGCAAATCCTCCCTGAGTATCGTAGCCTGCTGCTGACCATCACTATTATGAATACACAATTCTCCCTCTTTCCGTGAGGACAATGCCCAGTTACCCACGACCAATCGAGCGGCACCAGGTCGCGACAAAACGGGTTGACTCACTGAATTTGGTTTTACTTGACTCCGTGCACGCTGCAGCTTCTCCAAGAACTCGCCTCGATTCTCTACAATACCCATAGTCAAAGTAAATAATTTTCCCTCTATCAATGACAACAGATTTAATTTGATAATCAACGAAACTGTCAAAATCGATTCGTTATTTTATCGTTTAACTTGATAATGTTGTCACGTCGTAATTGAGAATTAATTAAAAATGATGGTTTAATTGTTCAGATTGAAATTAGTGGATGACTTAAACCTTGCAGCAGTGCCATAAACTCTGCCAATCGATAATAGCGAAGGGAGTCGTGGATGAACCTACCTTCAGTAGTGAGAGATTCAGTGTTTCGTCCTTTTCCTGTTGGCAGTTAGTGAAAGAAAAAAAAAACGAGTTATTTCTCTAGACTAATGCCCATCGTTAATTACAAGTGAATGGATAATGTAATTAACAAGTTGTGCACCGAGAAAAATCATTTATTCCCAGAATTCCTTTCTCCCATTAAAATCAAATGATTTCCACATTATTATGCAATTATCTCCCCACGAACTTCTTCTTGGAGAAAATAATCAATAAATAATTTCCTCAGGTGCACAGCAATTAACAGTAGCTTCGTTTTCACCTTTGCAGAATAAAATAAACGAATGAAATGGTGGAATTTCTAATACTAATGGCGAAAGAATCAAGAACTCTTAATGATTTATTCCAGAATTGTCAGAATAACTTACCAGTGGTGTCGGTACCACCCTCGGGGCTTCCACTGGAGTACATCGTCGCTAACTTTCCATCCAGAATGAATCTGAACCATCCATTGCTCCCATTGGAGAGCTCCAGAGCTGCAGCATCGCTCCACACATACAGACAATCACGTCCTCGACAGATGCACCAGTCTCGCCAGTGATAGGCCCTCCCAACGAGCAATTCTCTGGCATCCTCTAGCCTGTGCTCCTCTCCAGACTGAGTTGAATCGGCTTCTGGCTCTGGAGTTGGCTCCTGAGGGCCAGCCAGAGCAGCCACTTTCGAGAACACTCCGAGCCTTGCGAAATGCTCAAGGAATTCGTCTTTTCCTTTCATCATCAAGTCCTGGATCATCTGCAGGACTATCAGATGGCCATCCTCGTCCTCCTGGTAGATTTGAAGACGATTAAATCTATTTTATGGTGGAGAAAGTCAAGGGGGATACTCTCTGCTATTTAATTCACATTCGCAATTCAAATATCGAGAGAATGTCTTTTAATTGTGAGTAATGTACAGAGACTGTCCCACTCGGATTTCCCCGAAGTTTATCCAAGTAATGAGCATTGCACAAGCAAACCAAAGAAATTGTCGGTATATACTCATGAATTTTATTCACTTTTTGCTGAGGCAGGGCAAAGAACAAAGAACATTCGCGTCTCATCGGAAGCTCGCCTCTCTATTCCATTATTCAATAGGGTATTTGTTAAGAAAGTTAATGAAATCTAATGGACAATTGTCACCTGATCCACCTCCGGCCGTCAAGTTTTACCACATTTGTTATTAATTGAGCAATAAAAAAATCTATCCATTGTTGAATCAATAAAAGCATTTTTTTTTTATAATTTGAGGAGTTCCTGGCTTGACAATCGGGGAAATTTCAGCCGAAAAAATCCTTGACTCAACAATAATTATCCTTAATCGAAGTCGCAAAGAAAAATTAATAGAATATTAAAAACATAACAAAGTCAATATTTTTACATTGAAAATTAATTTCTGTTGAGGCAGAGTCACCAGTCGTTCCAGCACCTCCTCAACAGCACAAATTAACTCAAAACTAATCACATGCGTCTGTTAAATCTCAAAACCCCTCATGTTATCATTAGCCCTTCCCACCCTTTAAACATTTACACGAAACATGAATTTAATTCATAATGATTAATTTGTGAAATGGATCTCTCACTTTATCCCCCACCCCCCATGTTTGCAGTGATGGTCTTGGGGAAATAAAAAAGGATGATCGATTTGTTTTTGTATCAAACTAAAAAAAGAAAAGGCAAGGTCAACTTGTTTTATAACAAAACGGTTTTTACCGTTTTATCGATAATGTAGTACTGGGAACTGGTATTCTTGCGAGACGTAAGGCAGGGCAATTTGGGGCCGATCGACTTGAGAGGCGGAGGCGGTGGTGGCGTTGACTTAATCTCAACTTCCTGCAGAAGAAATCCTAAATCTTTTCTCTAAATCATAAATAATAAATCCCCCCCTAGTCCTCGCAATTCTGTCATTATAATAAACATTTAGTGTTTCTACTACTAAATTTTACATTATCTCTTCGGAGATGATTAATTTCAGAACATCAATAAAATATCTCCACCCTCTCCTTTCTGAAGCGAGTTTCAATTGTCCCCATCGATTCCGTCCTCTCACCTTGACGTATTGTCTTGTATCTCTTCTCTCGTCCCATTAAATTGAGTTCCGATTCAATAAACTCATCTCTAATTAATATCCTCGTGCGCTCGACTATTCTATTCAATCCCGCAACTAATTCAGCAATTGATCAGAATAATTCACCAATTAATCAATTTGTAAAATTTCTAATGACGCAATAACCTGTTCGATTGAATTTCAAGAATCGGGAAAAAAAAAACAAACTTTACAAAATTCCCCCCTCACCTCATTATCCAAGACATTGGCAATGACCTCGACGAGCATGGCACCACAGCCAGCGGTTTTATCAGCACCACACGTTTCCACCAATAGTTCAGCCTGAATATAATGCACCATCTTCCTGATGAGACTGAGACTGGCCTTTCTCACACTGGGTAGCATCGTGCTCTGAAATGTAGCACAAAAGACAGGCAATAGTCTCCTCAAGTAGACAGGTGCCATCTCGGGATCCCCCTTGGGCTCAGTGAGCTCCTCAACTTCAGTGTCGATCTTCCTGTGTTCCTGGTTAGGAGGCAGCATCCACTCCCCTGGACTCTGTAGAATAGCTGCCACTTCCCTGTGACCCTCGTCCGATCTCTCCCTAGCTTTGTCAAGAGGTGTCTTGCCATCCTCATCCCTGAGATCGGGATTAGCTCCGTGCCTCAAGAGTACTTTGGCTATTGCTGGCCTACCAAAGCAAGCGGCATAGTGCAGACTCGAAGATCTCTGGCCCTTGTTCACGTCAGCCCCTCGATCACAGAGAAACTCCACCATCTCCTGGGTTCCAAAGGCTGACGCCCAGTTAAGCAGAGTCTGTCCCACATCATCCATGAAGTTCACCTCGATCCCGCCGGAGTCGATCGCCTCGATAAGGGCATCTGTGTCTTTCGATCTTATGCAATCAATTAACTGTCGATGTGATTTTTCCCCGGCACTGTCTAATCTCCTGAGTCTTGTGAGAAGGGGGCCAGAGGGTCCTCCAGCCGTTCCCCTTCCAAGAGCAGATCTTCCCTCGAACAATAATACCAGCAGAAGATCAACTAGCCTCATGGAATCCAGGGCACAACGTTCGTCTCCTTTGAGAGCTTTTTCAATGGCATCAGGGAGTTCTGAACGCAGGAGATCGTGAGTTATTGATGGAGAGCCTCGGCAGAGAGTTGATAAAAGACTGATTATCGTTGAGACAGAGGCACAGGACTTTGGCTCTGCTGTTGGCATCGTTGAGGATGTACTTGAGGGCGGTGGAGTTTTTGGATTACTGGATGTCGCTGTCACAGAGGTGCCCGGTCCAGCGGCGTTTGATAATCTGTACAGTAATTCCGAGACTAATCCATTAGAAGCTAGAGGGGCGGGATCAGTTCCTCTCCTTGAAAATCTATCAGCCAAGGAGGCAAAGCACCTGAGAGCCCCATCAGCCACATGTGCATCCTCATGCCTGAGCAGAGTAGAGAGCGCCTCGACGCAATCAGGCAGTGCCTTGTCCTGGGGCTCGACTTTTCCACACAATCTCGATACAACAGCCATGGCAGAGTGCAGAGTGTCTCGATGAACCCTTGCACCATGCTCCCTGATAAAGCACAAAGCGCAGGGCAGTCCACCTGCTTCGAAAACAGCACCTGCCTCTCTGGCGCAAACAAGTTCAAGGACCTTGATGCACTGTTCAGCGAGATCTCTACTCGCCCTTGATCCCAAACCTGCACCTGATAGGCGTCCACATATCGCCTTAACTGCTCCCTCCATGGCAACAACCCTGCGAGTGCATTCTGCTGATACATCCAGATAATACGTAATAGCTCTGGCTGTCACCTCGAGGACACTGTCGGGAGCGTGCTCGTCGAGAAATATCTTGCACAACGCTGGGAGAAATGTTCTCGGGGGACATATCTCAAAGCACCGGTCCACGTTGTCCGACATCAGCAGGAGCATGCACAGCTGCTCCAGGGCAATCAGCTGCATATCCCGCTCGTCCCCCTGACCCATCGAGAGCCATTCCAGAAGCGTCTCAGGGTCTACTTCTGCCATCTGACAATTCACAGGATTTGTTTTTTCAACCAATGGTGAACAATTTTGTTCGGAGAAGTTCAAAATTATTTACAAAAAAATGAAACGATGGTGATTTTTCTTCACATTGATTTTCTTCGAAGATATTCGCAAAGTTTTGTAACAATGTGAGACAGTAAAACTAGGAATAAAGAGGATTATGAGATTGGTGATTATGCGGAATGGGGGATTTAGAGGGGGAAATGTCAAGACGGTTTTGTTAGGGAGGAAGTTCCCAGGAAAGGTCTCTTGGTGATTTGTTCAGGCCACACGTTAGTGATATCATTCGGGGATTAATGACTGAAGAATGAATTGTGCAAATAAGTAGAGAAAAAATATATATGTCGGTGAGAAAAAAATTTCAAGGGCAATTTCAAATCTGAAAGAAAAACTAAACTAAACTCCTCCGCTGAGAGTTTTTGGCTATCCTCCAATACACTGCAATCCAACACTTCATCACAATGACATTTCAAATTTCTCTCCCTACGTTTCCGTTATCCGCAAACCATTAAAAACTGTAATTATCTCGATTACTCACCTCGTCTTTCACCAAATCACCTTTTTGAGAAAATCTCAACTCAGTAATCTGCAATAATACCAGATTCATTAACAATCTCATCAAAAATATGAGGAGTAAGAGAAAAAAAAGTTAATTGAGAACTTGAAGAATACTTTCACATGAACTTTTTTTATTTCCCCGAAGGTCCTGCCACCCCAGCCCCTCACCATAACAAAAACAAATAAAAGCCCCCAAACAAATCTTAAGCCCTGAAACACCAAACTCAATTTTCCCAAACTTCCTAACCTTCCAAAACAAAATCCACACTCGCCCCGGTACCACTAATTCCCTCATTATTACCTTCTGCTCATTTTCTCCACCCAAAGAAATGAATACAGCAAATATTACGCGGATGGGAATGAGAAACAACGAAGTCTTCAAAGTCTAAAGCGAATATTCTGAATTCATAAAGCATTCGTCCGCAGGTGCATATGTCAATTCCCAGAAAGAGAAAGCCAAAAGAATACCAAAAAAAAAGATATTGCCTTACAATCTCGATGAATACGAAATGAGCAATACATTTGACAACGAAGAATTCATTGTCCACTGGGAAAAAAACATGGAAATGTACTGATTCTTGAAGAATTGATCAATTGAGTTCAGTCTGAGCTCATTACAAAGCGAAATAAGTGGACCCTTCAAGGGAGAAAAATGACTCCACTTCATCAACAATCGAATGAGGTTTCAACATTTGAAAAGAAGTCTGAAGTGTTCCCTTTCCCCTCTCGTCATCTATATCCTCTACAACTAGAAAAATCCGCCAACTCCACAAAATAAAAATTAGTACCCGTTAACCTCTTTCCCCCACCCCCTGTACTCGTTACTTCATCCAACTCAATTATTACTGAGAAAAATTCATCTCCCAACAATCCGCAGGCTGCAAATCCCAACTAAAACCTGACAATTTTGAAAATAAATCTTAACCCCTCGACTCTGGCCTGAAATATAAAACAAATTTGAATTTCAATCCCCGGGGAAGACCGCGAAAAAAAAAATTCGATATTCAGTCGATTTTTCATGTTCATCAATTCTGTCTCGATTTTCTCTCGCTGTCCTCCTGAAGTTTTGAATGAATTTTCAACCTATTCAATCGATTTTAACGGTTCTTCATGTCCATCGAGGGTGAAATTCGGTGGTATTCGAAAATACCGAACAAAGAAAAGAGAAATGAGGATGAAAAATCCTGGCGACAGTTGTCTCCTCTCAATCGGAATCCCCTCGTGCCTCCAACAGAGACAGAACAGAAACACGAACAATCCCCCCCCCTGAATCGACTTTCCCCACCTCGAAAACACGAATATTTCTGGAAAGTATCGTTGAAATTCTCTGTGAAACCACTAGAAACATCTAAATAATGACGAAAGTCGATATTGCAATTGCATCTGATGTTGCGACGTTCATGGTACGATAAAAGATACGTACCGTTGAGCACAGTGTTCCATTATTCGTGGGGTCAAGTCGCCATCCTTGTCCACGACAGCACAAAAACCCTTTTATTACACCTCAATTGATCAACAAATATCGTGATATCAGCGGGAGTAAATCGATGCACTGTTTCCTACTTTTTTTAACGCTCGTTAATCGTCGTCTTGATGATCCGTAATTTTTGTTTTGTGAAAGTTTTTCATGAATTTTTCCACCAGTGTTGTAGACCGATATAACTTTGCCATTTACGTGACGTGCGACTGCTCGAGCTCCTGCAAAGTGACTCATTCAATTGACGTCTGCGGCGCCACGGCCTAAGGCCCATCCCCACCAGATCATCGGGGAATCCCATCACAGGGCCATCCACTGGGACAAACGAAAAAAAAAAAATAATCAAAATGTGAAAAAAAAATTACAAAAGCCCCAATTTTCAAAGAATGTCTTTATATTTTTACTGCAAACACCGAAATTGAGTTTCAAATTTTTTATTAAGAAATACTGAACCACGAAAATTATTTTCTTGTAAATACTTTTTCTTCAACTATTTTCGTCAATCACCATTCAATATACTTGAAATAATTAAATAGAATGCTTGCATATTTGGATATGGTTGAAGTTCCATTATAATTCTTGTTTGAAATTGATAACTATGGGAATTGTAATTAGGAGAAATATCTATTTTTCTCAGTTACATAGAAGTATCTCGGTGTGGGGGTAAAACATCAAAGTGTGTTGGACCAATCGGGTAAGACCACGATCGCAATGGCGGTGTGGACTGGCAGTTTTGTGATATCCGACAGATAGACACTAGTAGAAGTTGGTTGCGGTTATTGTTGACAGTTCTTTCAAGATTTTTTTCACTGTTATTTTTTCACATTTTTGTTGATCATGTATCCCTGTGGACTACTGTTGGTGTTGTTGAATCTCTGGTCAGACGGTAAGTTCCATCATAACCTTTTTATTCCTATTATAATGTTCGCCAGTAGAACAGAATATCCTCGTGTACCTACATCACTTCAATAATTGTATTCATTAATGTTCTGGGTACAACAGTAGGTGGAAGTGTTTCTGAGATGGAGATCGACAGACATCTGGAGTTGGGGAGAGATTTTCTAGCCAGGGGACAACTCCAGGATGCATTGACACATTTTCATGCAGCAGTTGGTGAGTTCGGGTTGACCCTTTCAGGAATTGAAGAAGGATGATTCACGTGGGGGATTTAAATAATGAAGAGTTATGATTTTAATCTGCAGATGGTGACCCAAACAACAGTCTGACGTACTACAAACGTGGGGCAGTGTATCTAGCCCTTGGAAAATCAAAACTAGCTCTCCAGGATTTCGACAAGGTCCTTCAACTGAACTCTGACTTCACAGCAGCTCGACTTCAACGTGCTAAGGTACTCCGGAAGCAGGCGGAGTTCGCCAAAGCTGAGGAGGAGTTCCTCAGCGTCCTCTGGATGGATGATAACAACGTTGAGGCCTCAGCTGCCCTCCAGGACATTGCCACTATGAAGGAGGACTACTCCTTGGCGAAAGAGCTCATCAAGCAAGGTCGGTACGACGAGGCTGTTGAACTTCTCACTCGAGTCATAGAGTTCTCCCCATGGGCAGCAGAGCTACGAGAAATGAGGGCTGAGTGTCACATGAAGATGGGAGACTACATGAGTGCTGTCTCAGACATGAGAGCCGGTACTAAACTCACATCAGACGACACCATTGGATTTTTCAAGCTCTCCCACATGCTCTATCGACTTGGTTTTGTCGATGAGGCCCTGAAGGAGATCAGAGAGTGCCTGAAACTTGACCCAGAACACAAGGATTGTTTTCCTTTCTACAAAAAAATCAGAAAAGTAGCTAAGAAGTTGAATGAAGCGTTGGAGGCAGAGGAGTCCCGAGACTACGAGACTTGTACCTCCTCGGCGGAGTCTGTCCTGAAATTGGAACCCAATGTTGATAACGTACGTTTCACAGCGCACCACCTCCTATGCAAAACGTACACCAGTGATCCCAGCTTAGCTGTTAAGCACTGTCAGGAGGCCTTGAAAGTGAGAAGAGAGCCTGAAGTGTTGTGTGACAGTGCCGAGGCTTATCTCAATGCGGAGATGTATGATGACGCCATTAGGGATGTCAAGGACGCCATGGAGATGGATACGGGATACCAAAGGGCTAAGGAGCTCCTCCAGAAAGCCCAGCAAAGGCAAAAGATGTCTGAGAGCCGGGATTATTATAAAATTCTCGATGTTCGCAGGACAGCTACCAAACAGCAAATCATCAAGGCGTACAGAAAAGCTGCCCAGAAGTGGCATCCTGATAATTTCCAGGATAGCACCGAGAAGAAGAAAGCTGAAAAAAAATTCATTGACATTGTTGCTGCCAAAGAGGTCTTGACTGACGAAGAGAAAAGAGCCAAGTTCGACAAGGGAGAGGATCCACTCGACCCTGAAAGTGGAAAACATTCTGGTTTCAATCCTTTCCAGGATTTCCCTCAATTCCATGGCTCGCCTTTCCAGTTCAAGTTCCATTTTAATTAGAAGCGCAAGTGCAACACTAGTTTTGAATGAGAACACTATAGAGACATTTGGGAGAATTTATAGGGAAGGTGGAAGAGGGTCATGCATCATTTGTGTGTATATATGTCTTCAATCGTTACGGAAAGGAGGATTTTTTTGGGAGAGAATTTCTGTATTTAATTCGGTGATGAGGAAACGTCAGTTTTTGTGATCAAACAGTTGACAGAAAAAATGCAAGTTTTTTTAATAAAATTCTCTCTTAAAATTGGCCGCCTCTCAACGAAATCTTTTGCAATTTGTATATTTCTGGAAACAAGTGTAATCCTAGTTTCCCTTAGGAACTGATATGAAATAATATTTAAGGATATGAGATACCGCCGAATTGTACAGAACTATAAAGGATAATTCAAATTTTTCGAGACTAGAATCTTCCGTGAAAGGCAGTGGATTTATGTTCTAGATAAAAGGCCACAGGTGGTATCACTAAATCAATTGCTTCTTATATTTATACCGAGTACGAGTGATTTTTTTCGTATGACTGGAATGAATGATATCTTCATGTATATATAAATGAATATGCAAATCTGTATCTACAAGCATTTGTATAGAAATATATCGAAATCATTTATACGAACGGTTTTATTGTAATGAGAAATTTATAATACTATTTTTTTTATAATTTTCATTTTGATTTTTTGATTTTTTTTCATCACGTCAATTAGTGAATTAAAAAAAAAATTATGAAATTCTGACGGAGGAGAGACTCAAGGTAATTACAACACCAAAATATATTTAATTATTTACGTATTTTTTTTATTGAATGTTTCTAATCGTTATCGGGAAACACTTTCTTCTCTCTCATTTCTGTTCACAATTATTATAAATCATCATCTGCATTTTTGTGTATTAAAATTTTTCAGGTGAATGTAACCAATAACATTATTGTGTTCTCTTTTCATTTATGCGTACATGTTTCTCACACGAGGCGAGCTTCCAGGAATTTTCATATACACTAGACAAACATTTTTTTTTGTTTGCTGTCTTTTACTCGCCTCAGTGTCAAACCTACAACTAAATTGTCGTTTCAATTGGGGACACAATTGGTGCAGAATAACTTCAAATCATAGGCCATCCAACAATCGTCAGAGGTGATATAGTTCTACGACTTGAGTCTACAGATATCTCTAATTCCTAATCAATCATCTCAAAGCCTGAACTGCAATTTTCCGATTACTTCATTCTTACCAGAGCCATCGAAAAAAATAATCCCAATTTTATATATTTTTTTTAATTCGATAAAAATAAAAAATTTTTCCAGATTAATTCGTGAATTATTCCACTTTATTCGAAATTTTGAATTCCCCAGATATTTATCGACAACTGTAGACCCAAATCAAAATAAAAATGAGAAAAAGTCATACGTCATTGTTAACGTGATACTTTAGAATAATATTAGGTAGGTATAATTGGGTAGTTATTGCCTATGTACATTCCGCAAACTGCATCTACAGTTGCGTTATGCTACGATTTCATTTTTCTTGGCGAATTCACTTAAGTAAAGCTTACAGTTTGCATAAACTTCATTTTAGGTAGTTTAGGTCTTTAATATAGGTAATAGTACTCTCATTATCAATTTGCTACAGTATTATTGGCTGTACCAAATCGTCTCACATGTACACATCCTTTTTTTCCCCTCTTCATGATCTAGTAAGGATAAGTTATTCTCATACATCACCTGTATGTTTTGGTTCTGTGAAATAATTAAGATTTTCATTCATTTTTTTTTATTTCTTTCTTTAATTAATTATTATTCCATTGTTTACTGTTTATAACTGGCCAATAAGTATCTGCCACTTTATTTATTTTTTTCTTATATTATTAATCTATCTCCATTTTTGTTTTTTCCACTTTTCGACTTTTTTCCACGTTTTGTCATATTTACAAATAATATACAATAATTCTTTTACGATTAATAATTACGTAATAATAAAACTTTTAATCGCAATTATACGTAATAATTATAAATAGAAACTTGACCGAATAATTCATTTTTTACTGTTCTCTCTGCGTTGTGCACTGGCTCACGTAAACTCATCGGAATATAAATACATTTTTCTTACTTTGTTGCTTCACTCAACACATTTTTCAACGTCAATCTCTCCATTTGTTTAATATATAAAATTTGTATAATCTACATGAATCACTTTAAGTATATTTTCTCTTGTTTTGTTGTCTATTCCTTCATTTCACCTTTTTCAATCACAAAAAAGATACAAAGGTGATAAGGAGATAAGCAGGGGCTCGTTGTGCCTCACAAACTGGCAGTTAACTTGTCACGCACCCAAATATCGACATGACTCAACATTTTTATTGCTCATGTGCTGTTGAAATTGAAAAATCAACACTTGATTCTGTATTCTGCATGTCCAGAGAAGCTTGAGTCAATTGATTATCAACTTGATTCCATTTATTTACACAGGTCATCCAAATATCTTCGATTCTCGAATCAAATCTATTCTTACATTTCAGCCTCAAGTTCCTCCGTACTCGCCTCAACTCCATCAGCCACAATAAAACATGAATCAAGTCAATCTTTCCGACCCAATGAAACTTGACTCAATATTATTCAGGTGCGCATTCATTTGGTTTAATCGTAATTTCCACTGCTGTTCCCAACCAACTTTATTTCCTCCCAAAAAAAAAAAAACAAGATTATTCCCTACATTTGCATCAGAAGTTGATTCTGCTTCGGCGACTTCGTGAGGTTTTAGAACGAAATTATGAGGAAGTATTACAATTGACTCGTTGATTGCATCTATCAGATAAATAAAAATCTCAAAATAAAAATCGACGATACTCTGGCAAAGTGGTGGTGAAATAATGCCACATTATCGACTTCAAGTCGAATAATGAGGAAACATTTTCCCTTGCAATACTTCACCGTAAAGATTTATCAAATCTCCACTTCACCCCAGAAAGTGAGATGAAAAAATTTTGGAAGAATCTCATACATTCGATTTTGGTTTACGGGTCGCACGCTATAGTATATAATGATATATAACCTCGTCAGAAAAAAAAAACAATTTCTCCCTAAATAAAAGGAACACTGTATGCGCTATTATCCATCAATAAGCAGGTTTACAATGGTTGAGTATCCTTAAGTCTATCGAGATTATTTACAAAAAGAAATTAGAAAAGAAAAATAATAATTAGAATAAAATTCTGTACAAGTAATAAGAATCAGCCAACGTGGGCCGACAGTAGACCGCACATTAAAGACCAATTGAAGGCCCTTAATCATTATTTCACTGTTTAAACGTTGCATTTGTGCATTTGTGAAGCAGTTATTTCGTTAATTGTGAAATCTGGTCCATTTTATCGTGGTTTTATTTTTCTTCTCAAATTTATTGATTGAAGACCAACTCACAGCCACAGCCAGATCATATTTAAAACTGTAACTGCAGCATTTTACCCTTTCAATATAATAAGTAGGTAATTGTAAACCTAGTATGCCCTAGCATTGTCCATAGGAATATTACAATTAGAGCTAAAAAGTGTTTTGTACCATTGGTTTAGGTGAGAGCACCCACGTGACTCCACAATTCCGTCATAATCTTCACAACAAATGTTGATCATTTGTTATAGTCAACTGCGAAGACTGACTTGATGTCATTTTTTTCAACGACTTGAGTCTGTTTTTTTTTTAATTTGATTATTCATTTGAAAAGGAGACGTTCGTTCATTTTATGGTCTGCGATATTTTATTTTAAGTTCATTCGAAGAACGCCAGGATATCGTCATTGGAGGAGGGATGACCACTGCTTGCTCCACTGCTTGGAGGAGTGTTGAGATCAGGAGGGTCCAGATATGATAGAAGCTCCATAGGATCCACGACGTTATCTGGCAATAACTGGAATTGAGAATTTGAGAAATGTATTAATTTGAAATTTATCCGGCGGTACCCCAATCGAATGAAGCTGCCTTATGAGTTAGTCGTTTGGAATTTATATTTAAGATTCTTACGTTCAGTGCTTCTTGCCCCGTTCCCTCGCCGTCGATAACCGCCGCTGGATCGAAATTTAGATCAGAGGGAATTTCCGTCGTATCATTCCCACTGATATTTGCACTACCATTCCCAGAGGTATTATGATTCGTCGATTCCTGGGAGGCAGGTGGTACACTAGGAGGTCCACTATTTCCACCTCCAGGTGTATACGGTGTGTGGGGTGTGTGAGGCGTATGAGGCGTATGTGGCATCTGGAATGAACAAAAAAAAAAAAATAAAAAACAATTCTTTCTTTGATTTGCAGATAATTCTCGAAAATTAAATAACCCACCTGATCATTGAGACTCTTCTCCATAGCATTCAGCGGATCGAGGGAATTCACAGAATCACTGAGATGCGTGAGAGGTCCAGCCCCATTCGAGTAGTCGCTCCCCAAGTTGCCCCCATTAGTGACATCATAGCTTCCCCCCGATGAATTTCTGTGATTGATGCTGCTACTTCTGTAGCCAGTGGTTGAATTATTCATCATAGATCCACTAACGATACTATTCATATCAGGTGGCATGTAAGGGCTCATAGCCTGATTCATCTCCCAATTGTTCATGGTTGGCATACTCATGCTTCCAGGTGACATAGCCTCCTTCTTGATGAGCCTTTTACAGTCACTCTCCTCCTCGCTCTTGATACTCGAGTGGCTCTTAGCAGGTCTCCAATTGGCCGCTGAGTCTATCGTCACCTCGTCGATATCAGGTGTACTAGCTGTGGAGTGAAGAATTCCCCAGATATACTGATCAACCTCGAGTGCCTCAAGTACCGCCGGTTTTGAGCAAACAGGACACCTCCATGCACCCCTCTCACAGTTTAGCTGTAGATAACTCTCAAGATCGAAGCACTGTGGATGCTTGCAGTCATGGCCCCTAGCGGGCAACGTAATTCTCTTAAACGTTATCGGACACTTTAGTGATATCTTCAGCGCCGTCTGCTCAACAACATCATTCTCACTCTTAATTCCACCATTTCCCATCGAACTGTTGAAATTCTGCTTGATATTGGCTATGCACTGCTCAGCAGTGAGCAATCTTTTCTTCAGGGTACCCTGCAATACACTCCTCACTGTCGGTCTGTGGACCAGCTGAAGGACAAATAGATGCGAGCAACAGCAAGCCGATACTGTTATCTGTATCGTATTCCTGCCATTCTGACACACATCCTTGAGGTAAAGTGGCTTGTGCGATGACTTGTTCTCACCCCTGTCTATTCCCTGTGGTGTTGCATTAACTGATACCTGGACACTAGCTGGCCAATTGGTATTCATCTGCCTGTCCTCGTGATGAAAGCATTTCAACTGCAACTCCAAATCCTGTCTCCACATCAGTGTCTGATACACCGTTGGTTTCAGCTGGAATGCGTGATTGCTCACAGCTAAATTGTGCTGGAGACGAAAAGGGGGAAGAATTATGCCATCTCTCACTGGGAATGTTAGTCTCAATTCGTCGTCCTTCTGAATTGGAACTGGTGATTTTATGTCGGAGAACGTTGGCTTCATATCGAAATTCGGCTTCAGCTCACTGAAGTTGGGTTTTATGTCGGGATTTGGGCTTATGTACGGGGCCATTGATGTTGCGGGAGTGAGAGGTGGAGTTGGATTGCCCGGTATTGGACTGTGTTGGTAGGATACGTTCGGTACGTTTGGAGGATTTCGCATGGGTGATACTTCTTGTTGGTACTGGGCTGTTGGTGGGTAGGAATTTGTGTTAGTGGGGTAGCCCGGATGGGAGGGATGATTGGGATGGTTTTGATGGGTCTGGTGTGTCTGGTGTGTCTGATGTGTCTGATGGGGCTGATGGGGCTGATGGGGCTGGTGGGGTTGATGGGGTTGGTGGGACTGATGGGATTGGTGGGACTGATGAGACTGATGGGGCTGATGGGTCTGGTGGGAGGGATGGGTAGGGTGACCTGGATGACCAGGATGATTGGGATGGCTTGGATTGTTGGTGTGACCAACAAACTGACCCCCTTGATGGGTCACTGGATTTGTACCCATGGGCACTTGGTTGTGCTGGCTGTTGGTGGTTGCACCGTAATACTGACTTGACTGGGGGGCACCCTGGGCACCGTACGATGGAGCTGTCTGCCTCATGTTGGTGCCTCTTATCATGGCGTTGGGAAAGGTAGGACTCATACCCTGAACCGGCTGGTACTGGGGATGAAAGTTGGCGCGAGCTGGATAATTTGTTGGGTACTGATTAGCCATGTTGGTGAAGTTGCCCTGCTGCATGTGCTGGGGCTGCGTTGGAGGTGCGTACGGCGCCTGCTGGCGTTTCTGCACCATGTGCATTCCTGGGCTCGGATAGGGCGCCAGTCTTCTTGGGTATGCCTGCTGTGACTGCTGCATTCCCATTTTTGACATTGGCATGTTGCTGTTCGACATCATCGTATTCATTGACATGCTATTACCTACGTTTGCCATGTTGTTCATTTGAGACATTGGTGACATCGAGTTCATCGAGTTCATGGAATTCATTTGTGCCATTGACATTGGATTCATTGGGTTCATGGTATTCATGGAATTTAGGGAGTTCATTGAGTGCACTGGACCCATAGAAGTCATTCCCGAAAAGTTGTTCATTCCCACTGGTCCCATTCCGGCCATTGGGCCACGCTGAGGGTAACCCGTGTTGTAAGAGTTGTGGGGCATTCCATGCTGACTCTGGAACAGCGAGATTATCAAGTGATTGGGATTCTTTTGCTACTCATTACTTTTGATAATGAGATATTTATTATTTTTTGTTTCTAGGGACGGAGATTGTTGTTACCTGGTTGAATTGGGACGGGATATCCTGGCGGTCCTGCATGGCCACCACGCAGGCAGTGGCGGTGGCCGTTGCGGTGGCAGCTGCCACCATTGCCGCGGCACTAAACTCTCAAACACCACCCCCACCGTGGGGTGGCACTCCTCGAGACACCCCGGATGATGATTATTCTTCTTCCACCTCTTTTAGAATATCTGCAACACAAAAAAAAATTTCCCACTTCCGTAAGTCATTTGTCTCACCCTTCATTCTCAATTAATTTTTCCAATTCATATACAATTAAGTAAAATTAATAGAAATGAATAAAAAGTAATTAATCAATTCGTTTTCATAGGGATGCAAAATTGCGTGGATATAAATATTATTAAATTTCAATTCATGAATTAAACTTTCCTCCAGCTAGAATAAATTCGAAATATTTCAATGGAGAAGAGAAAAGAAATCTGTAAACTGGAGATTTCTAAGAAGCCATCATCGCTCCCCCGAAATTCTGAGAAAAAAAAATGAGGGAATCGTCGATATCCGGGCCCTTGAATGAGAAAAAAAAATATATTCTCAACAGTCTAGGGCGAACGAGGGATTTTTCTGGAGGACGAAAAATTCGGTGGCATTCGGGTTGCATCGAAATTCAAACGTTTTCAATTGCCAGCTGGTCGACAAAGACGCGCGCACAGGGTACACACACCCTGACGAAGGCCCCATTGCTTTTCTGTGGGAAATGCACGTGCCGACTATTCACACAGAGCAGTATAATACATACTGTACGCCAACCGAAACCCGGTACATATATAACAGTAGGTAAGACCCACCCAAGACCCAGAGGATCCTCACCACTGTTCAAAAAATTTTTGCCACATTTTCCATGACCCAAACTCGCAATTCCCACCCAAAATGATTATTATCCTCAAAAATTCGGAATTCTTAGAAATCCTGAAACCATTCTATACTCCTTGCTCTTAGATTTCGGCAAATAGATGAAATGGATAGAGAGCCGATTCACAATAATAAGAAATAATAAAAAAATCTCTTAAAAATATCAAACATAATTGCGCTATTATCTCAGTAATTATGGGTTCCATCAGGAAATGTCGTGGGACTTTTTCGTGGGTGACGAAATTTCCTCCAGTGATAGACATTTAACATTTCCTCGAATTAAGATAATTAAGTTATTGTGAAGAATCAAATTTAGAAACGTTAATTCACCTCTGTAATTATCGTCTCGAGAAGAAAATGTGCCGAAATAATTGACAGATGATGAAATTTCCGGGATTAAAGCCTTGAAATTTTCTCTAAAACATCTCTAACAATAATTGTACATTCATACATGGAAGAATCCCACGAAGGCCTCCCTCGGTGTTCCCACCATAAGGATGCCCTAAAATTTGTTTGAATGAAAAAATAAAAAGAGAAAAGAAAAAACATATCGAGAACAATGAAAGCCGTTTACGACAAATAAAAAGGGTCCGCCTCGATAACGTTGTTTGACTGAAGGATAGTACCACTCGAACATTTTCGAGTTGACGTCATCGCTCTCCCTCTTCCCCTGTTAAAATTCATTCTGAATGCACTAGCCTAACCTTCCCTCGATCACTCCCCTATCTGACAACCCCAAGTCCCACAGACTCTCTTGTATTATTATTTTTTTCTCTCTCCCTTTCTCTTCACCCCCGACAGTACGTCTCTCCGGCGTCGTCGCGTCGCACTACCACACGTCCGAAGGGTTTCTATTCTCGGATGTCAATATTTCGTCAACTAGAGGCCATGAGTATCCGAACAAAAGGGTCACCCCCCGGTGATACTTCTCCCATCCGTGAGAGCATACCCTGTAAATTATTGTCGATGACACGCTAGGATACTATCCAAACTAACTTGTCCACATATATATGTAATGCGAATTTATCGATCATGGTAGAACGATGTGGCAATATTGCTCAAAGGGGAAAAACCTCCTGGAGATAAAAGTTTCAGTGGAGAAATCAGGCGATTTCCCCCTTCGTTCCATGAAAGGTGATTGAAAAATTCAAATCAGTAGGGGACGGCAATCGATTGATGTTGGTGGATATTTCTACTTTATTCAGTCTTTTCCCCGTGATAATTCCTTTTTCTCCCACTTTTCTAATGAATATTGGATGACAGTGATGATTACTAGTGAATTTTTAGCTTATTTTACAGGGCTTCCAACACCTTGTGGAGATTTTAACAAATTACTTCACACGTTTGAAATGTCACAAAATGTCATCAATGTTGAAATTACTGAGCGTAATTAGATTCAGAATACTCAAGTACCTCTCGGTCTTGCATAGACGTCACTATAGATTCCGAGACTCATGAATAACTAGCATAATTTCAATAATATTTTGCGCACAATAAAAATAAAGAAACCTCTGAAAAATCTCCTCTACTGCTTGACACACTACGAGATATTAAAAATCAGTCTTCCATTTATTTATTTACCCTCAGATAAACCCCTACATTTATATTAAATCTCTGCATTGTACGAACTGTCCCACCATTCTAGAAATCAATCACAAAGACCAAAATAATATCATCATCCAAACTCAAAGCACCCCCAGTCCTTTCCTACAAAATTCGTTATTTACATTTACCACTACATCTATATTTCGCTCTCTGACAATCTCTTTGTGGATTCGTTTTTCAAATCATAATCTCACTCAATCGTTTCTCTGAATTTAAACTAGACGATCCAACGAATGTAAACACTGCCGAAGTACCTTAAAGAGGAAATTTTCCAATAAGTTTTCCTTTGTGCCCCCTCCCATCACTTCTAACAGCTTTAATCAATTCAAGGAGACAAGGAGCCTTTACTAAACCTTACCACCCCCTTCCCCCTCTTACAATCTAAAATTCTGTAAAATCTCCATCAGAAGTTTAAGAGAATCACGTACACGCACCCATCGGTGGTTATACACTCGTAAAAACAGGCGGGATCGTGGCACCCGGCATGACTTTGTGTTTAAACTCTAAAATTAGCTGTCGCGCGAGCGCACACGCTTCCACCCTCCCCCCGTATCCCCCCTGACCCTCTCCCACAACCACCCATTCCTCCCACTCCAACATTTTTTTTCTCGTTAACTCTTCGTTATATTAATCGAAGACGCTGCGAAGTCGATCGAATGCACTCCCCCCCCCCCCTCCTCGCCCCTCAACACCGTCACCCCTTCCAGGAATCCGCTAAAATTATATCTATTTTGTTTCAAACATCGTCACAAGTACATCCACAGGGAGTAACTATTGCCCCCAAAAATACCACGGAAGTATCCCACTCATCCCCACCCTCCTCAAAAGAAGACTGGGGAAAGAGTGGGGTGGATGAGGGGGTGTGACGGGGGACAAAGGGGGGCAATTTTCGACAAGACGGCGTGCGCGCGCGCGACCAAAATACATGAATTCCTCTTTGCAACACGTGTTGCACACGGGGTACCCTCCCCCTCCCTCACCCCTCCGTTCATCGAAACATCGTTATATACGGAACGGAAATAACATCTGCTCCAGATGAACTCTCTTGACTCAAAAATATTTTTTTTTCAGCTCCTTGGAATTGATAGATTGAGAAAGAAAAGTCAATGTTGGAAAAGAATGTGTAGTTCGTGGAGTAAAAATTTTGATTTCAAGTTGGAAAGAATTTTTTGACCGAGAATATACATAAATATTTAGAGAGATGAACGAAGAAAGAGTAATTGTAATAGTTGGCTGAAACTTTCACGCAACCTTGGAGAAAGCCAATGAAATCCCCTCCGCGAATTTTCTTTGCGGATCAATTCCCGAGTCAAGTCTCTCGTCTTTCTCTTCACGTGCATTACCAATTTAATGATAAGTTTTGAGTGAAAAGTAGACTCCACCGAGTTAAAGCCGATGGTTGATACTTAGCCTATTTCCCCAAGCCTTGTTGATATTTGCGTGCACTGAGGAAAAAAAAAAATTAACTCCCGCCCAGTAAATACTTGAGGCCACTAAATGCCTGGAATCACTACATAAAGACCCCGTTAAATTCCTCTTTGAAACAAATTTCTTTGGCACTCATAAATGTAATTGGTAGAAATAATTTTTTTATTTCTCTCACTGTTGCAAAGTGTTTAAACATTTTGAGTCATTCAGTTTTTGTTGATCATCACTTCTCACTCGTTCTTCCCCATGGAGAAAAAAAGCATGTGGTGAATTTATCTAATCCTCAGAATCTGAGATATGTATTGAGAACTCCTCCAGACAGAATCGACTCAACTAGAATATTTTTCCGCTTGACTAGTGATTGGACTTGTTGAAGAATTTTAGCACGAAATGGTTTAAAAAATAGTACGTAATAAGGGAACACACGATAGCTTATTATGCAATCAATCGGTACCCCGAGGCATAATAAATGGCCAGGATAGACCGTTACGCAAAAGAGTCGCATGTATATATAAGTTATGCTGCGATAACAATTGGCTCGGATATGGAAGTCGATATAATAACTATCCGTCGCGTCGTTTCGTGATTTAAACGACAGTACTCTAAGCAAGACGAAAAAAAAAGGAAAAACAACAGATAGATATTCAACAGTTTGAGATAAGTATTTATGACCCAGTGATAATTCAATTTTCTTGATAATTTTCAATACCAAGAGGTGGTTTTTTTCAAGTTTTCCCCCAACATCGATCAGCGAGTTATTTACTTGTCATGAGGTTGGGTCGAGGGCTTTTTCTCCTTCAATTTGCCTTCATCGAAATAACCAGATCTATTTTCAGGTTACCAAGTGAATATCGCGTGTACGCAAGTTTACACATCGAAAGAGGGGCCAGGGTAAAGTGGATATTAATGGAGTATGGCCACTTTTCAAACTAGTCGTTGCGAAAAAAAAAAATCGATGGTATGGGAGAGAAAATCTAGCTCGTGCTAATTCTAATTGAGTACTTCTCAGCACTGGTATTTTTCGAAAATTTCAGAAACATTATTCCAATCCACTCTTTACTAAATTATTGGACTCATTCGACGTGGCAATGTGGCACATATTGCACATTGTAGAACGCAATGCTACGTTGTCAAATTTAGGGAGTTAGTACTAATAAAAATTCCAGCATAGACTATTTACGCACTATTTTTTGGTACACTATAACTGTTTGGTGCTAACAGTGTTTTCCACTGTGCGACGTTGTCGAAACTTGAGTGAATGCATTGAAACAGTCTAGAGTGAATTTGA